CAGTTAATATCGTAACAATATATATTTGTTTGATATAAAAACTTTGCAATTTGTACTTATAAAATTGTCCACAGACACGTAGTTCACATGAACAAACAATGTCGAGTTCTTAGAATTAGACTTAGACACTTTATTCGCGATGAATTTATTATACGGAAATTGACACGAATGTGCGACTGCGTGCATCTTAGTTTGCGTGAGATATTGTTGTGGTATATAGGGTGGGGCATTTTAATCGCCCCAGGCGAATATCTCAGAAACTAAGAGAGGTACAAGAAAAAGTTTTATATGAAAGTTGTAGGTTTTCTTGGGGGAAAAGAAAGTAAAAATAACGAATTTTTTATAGGGGGCACTACTAAGGTCATATCAAGGTCAACATGAATTTTTTAAATGGAACTCTCCATTTTTCATTGCATATTCTTGTGGCTTACATAAAAATGAATTTTCAATGCAAAAATGAAAATAAAAGAATTTTCAATAACCTTGATCTTAACAAATATTATCCAGGACATGATTCTGAACAACATTCAAGAGGTTTTAGCTGTTGGATATCTTGCGTATGCCGGCGATACTGTAATTTTCAAGCCTTGTAACTCGAAATGTACTTAATGAAAAAAATATTTTATTATATTAGGTGTTGGAATTAATTCGTAGCGTTTTACAAGTGATGGGAAGTACTTTCATTAATGTATTTTTTAATGCTCATGTGAAATAAATAACATTCTTTCATTAAAAACGCTACGAATTAATTCCAACACCTAATAGTATTTTAGAAAGCTCTTAATCTACAAGAATATGCAATGAAAAATGGGGATTTCATTTAAAAAATTTATGTTGACTAATACTACGTTGATTGGAAGAAAAAGCGTGGGATTGAACTTGACTCCAATTATTAATATCAAATCTTTTATACAAATGATATATATATATCATTAGTGTTAAATAAATAATAAAGATACTACCACTTGGGTTTTACTTTCTAATTTGATAGAATAAGCTATGTATTACAAGAAATATATTAGATAAGGAAGTTACAGCAAACAAAAGATAATTCTTCGAGAAACGTAACTAGTAGACATTATTATTGTGGACAGAAAATCAATACTGTCTTTTAATATATTTACAAGTGATGTGTCTAATTGAGATATATCACAAATGTTGGCATGTTATTAAATGTGCAACTCTTGTATACAGAATAAGGCAAAAGTACTGGACCCTGAATATCTCAAAAAATGTAAGTTTTACAGAAAAATGTTTCAAATAAAAAAGTTGTAAGATTTAAAAAGATCTTTTAATTGATTTTATAAGTTTGACCTTGGATAGCGTCTCCAAAGTGAAGTCGAGGTCAAATCGATTTTTTGTAATCCTCAGCTACATGAGTGGGTCATTTGGACCCGGAAATTTTAGTCGGCCGCTTTTTGTATGGTTAATATTGCAAAGTTGAAGTGAAGGGGTAAAAAAACTTGGATCCTTTCTCTATCGATCGCCATGATGCAATTGTTTCATTGTTGTTGACGCTAATTGTGTACAATAAAAGTTTGGCTTGGATGACTTGGGTGGCTTGAGTGGCCCGTCAAATGTACATTTAGATTTTTCCATAACCCTGCCATAACTGAATAACATTTGAAAAGTTTTAATCAGCAGTTGGATACCATAGATAATGCCAATGTTGGCATACTTACTGTGATATTTTTCTTCTTAATCTTTATAATTTAAAAGTAATTGATAAAAAAAATATTTTGTTACAATGTTTTGAAAAATTTTCGAAAAAAACTTATAAGAATATGTGATAAAAAATAAGAGTTTTTATTTTAAAAAATCCATTTGACCTTAACCTAATCTTAGCGGCGTCAAGGTTAAATTGATAAAATTAATAATAAAATCTTTTTAAATACTACAATTTTTATTTGAAACATTTTTCTATAAAACTTACATTTTCTATAATATTCAGGAGTTTTGATACTTTTGCTTCACCCTGTAACACTAACAATGGCTCTCAATACTGAATCTCTCAAAATTTATATTACAATAATATTGGATTCATATATATTTCAGTTAAAATATTCGAATAATTTAATAATCCGAATCTCGGTCATAAAGGTTGAATGTTTGCGTAAAACGTTACATACGTTACGTGCATTTAATTATTTATCTTTTTTTTACTAGGTCAAATGTTCGCACACTTGATCGTACTATATTGTATTTGTTCGATGAAAATATAATGTCACGTAATATCAATTGTTCGATTAAGAAAAAATTAACTTCTAACTTATAAAAGTCTTTCTTGCATTATTATCTTTAAATTATGTAAGTTGGTCGTAAAGTATCCATCTATGTATATTCGTTGGATAATAAAAATTAATTCATGACAAACTTGTAGCAAAAGTTGCTTTATGCTTTCGTTTCTCGTTTGAATTTAGACTAGGTAAAACACTTCTCATACTTATCTAATGGAAAATTCGATCGATTGCTTCGAACATATTATTCTTGCATTCACTCAATAAATATTTCAACGTTGTTGAAAATTTAACGAGACGCGTCCCTCAGCAATGTCGCGCATTTGTGTTTTGGATGTCGCAAGTTCAGAATATCGTCGCTTTTAAATCACGTGAATGGTACAAAGTACAAGGTACAAAAAAATTGTTAATTTACTTTGTGTAACAATTATTACAATAAGAAAAATCAATATTTTGTTAAAGATAATCTGTCATTCGTACGATTCGCGTTGCGCACTTCCACGAGAAAATGTTATCCATGACAGAAAAAACCTGACAGAATAAAAGTATTTAAAATATCGAAAAACAAGAAGACTCGACATATGTCATCGAGACAGATGTTGTATTTACAAAAGGCTCTTTTCGCCAAATAAACGGTGACAATAGAGAACCGGCCAGATCTGCCAGATCTTCTCATTATAATGCTGTATCGGAGGGTTAAGGTGTCCTCACGCCGAGTATAAGAAACTGGATATATCGTCAGTATAAACAGTATATCTTTTAAAGACGTTTGATACAAAAACGTTTAGATAGATCAAAATATCCAGGTCCAATAAATAATGCGTTCGTACCATAATATTTAAGAAATAATAATAATTGTAGTGAATATAGTTAAGTATAAAATCGAAAGAAATATAAAATAACAAATCATAATATTGCGTAAATTTATGTATAATACGATTATTTTTAGTTAATATGAAATAGAGAATAGTATCGTCATTGTGAAACAATCTTTAGATATCCATATATCTATATATATATTCGCACATACCGCATGTCTGTGCAGTCTGTTGTTCAACAATAAAGTTGATCGTCAAGTTCCTAGGATCATATTATAAGATATATGAGAAGAATAAGGAATATTTAACAATTCTATATGGAGACGCAAAAATAAAACGAAAGGTATTGCCAGTGTATCGTAATGTGTTAATTCTCTATAACTCAATTTTTTCTCATGTTTGAAAAAAATTAACGCATAACTAATAAATACTGACGAATTAAGAAATAAATTTAAATGTTTTTAATATTTTTTATTAAAAAAAAATGATTTGTAATCTTTAAGTTACAATACATGATAATATATAACATTGCATAAAATAAATGTGTAGAGGAAAAATAGGGTTATAGAATACTATTTTGTTTTATTGAAATAATTTAGTAAATATTTATGTGACATAATTTTAGTATAAGTTTGTTAACCATAGAGTGTTATGTATATCCTTAAATATGACTTTACATGTCATACATGCACACATTTCGTTGTCAAATTTAGTTCAATTATATCATTTAAAAGTAAAAACCTCCAAGCTAGAATATAATTAAAACAAATAAATCATATAATTGTTACAAATCAATACGTGATTTTTTTAAAACACGCAATTTAAAAAATTACATGATTTTAGAAATAATTTTTCGTCGATTATATATTTTACAGCTATCAAATTTTAAATAATTAAATGATTGGAATAGAAGAGAAAAAAACATATTATATGACTTTTCAAATTATATAATTTTAAAAAATCACGTATCGTGTGTATTTGAAATAATCCGTTATGTGATTTAATGATATGTTTTAATTACGTGATTTCGTTATATTACTTTGTGACGTGATTTTTTTTTAGTAGGGCTTTCAATAATAACGTTTCAAAAACGAAAAATCAATTCGATACGTATTTGGTAGAATCAAGCGACGCGATGCCAAGTGCATAAAAAACAAAATGGAGCGCTTGACGTGTGACCGTCATTACGTATATATTCGTGCCGTTCGTGCCAAATTGATGGTACCACTAACTTTATGTGGAGTTTTAACATCAACAAATTTTAGAATAAAATTGCTTAGGAATCGCAATCAAAACTCTAAAAACATTTTTATTATATAATGTCATCGGTATCTTTCGATTACGACCAGTCTGAATAAAATTGGTGTAGCCGACACCAAAATCTGGAGATCGAGTGTGTCCCGAAAAGGGACTATTTCAGATTTTCAAATTTTTTTCAGTCTTACGTGTGACACATAAGACATTCCTGGAGAGAAAAAGAAGAAAGATGAACTGGTGCAAAAGTTCAGCTAAAAAGAACAAGCCTATACATGTAAAACATTTTATCCACCAAGCTGCCTTTCACAATGTTTTTATTCTTATTAATATTACATTAAAATTAGCAATATAAGTGAACATCAATGCACATACATATATAATAATTATCAATGTGTGTGAGAGAGAGAGAGAGGGAGGGGGGAGGAGAATTTGTGGGAGCATGAGAGTGTAAGAGAGAAAATGAGGGCAAGGAGAAAATGAGAAAAGGCGAGAGAAAGTGTAGGCAAGAAAGGATAGGAGAAGAGATGAAAAAAAAAAGAAAGAAAGAAAGGGTGAAAACGAGAGAGGCAATTAATTTTTATTTTTTATTTTTATATATTATTAACTTAAAGTATATCATCAAATACAAATTATTATTATCTTTTTATTTTTATAAAATTTAAATTCTATGTTATTATGTTTTCAAAAATTTACAAGAAGCAATGAAAAATCCCTGAAAAGAATCTCTTTAAAAAAGAAAAAATATACACCAAGTACATAAAAAAGGTATCTAATGTTACATTCCTTTTAACAAAAAACAGATACGAAATAAATGCAATTACCCGAGTAAGTTATAACGCAAGATTCATAAGATAGCTGATAGATTGAAAGTGACTAAAATGATCAACTACATTATAGTGAAGAAAACGGCATATATTTTTTTCTTTGTTAAAGAGGTTTTTTTTTTTAGATTCAGCAATATTTCAGTCATCTCCATTTCTCATTTCTTGGAGTTCACAGTTTATTTCAACGATTTCAGCAATTTATTTCTACCAGGGATGTGCGAAAAGAACAATTTTTAATTTAACTGAATGCTGATGTAATCATCGTTATATAATTGCGGTAAAACAAAGATGAAAATTACGTGTCAACTGACGCGACAGACTGAATTATGTTGATTGCCGATACGTGCGTGTCAAGAAACGGAGGGAAAAGTGTCGAGCGTATCGGTTACATCATCACATTGCAACGCGTAAGACAAGTAGGAAGATCCATTGACTGCATTTCGAGGTGTAAATTTCCAACGCATTGTGATATATTAATAAGTAATTAACTATAATGTGTAAATGACTAGGTAAGTTTACGGATATGTACAGAATTGTTTATCGATAATACAACAATTTTCAAATATGGAATATAATATTTTAAGAGGAAACGTCGATTCGTATAAACATATATTCTTAATAAGTATATATGAGTCCAAACAATTCAAACTAAAACACGAATATTTTAATTATGTAAAAGTATTAATACTTAAATGACATTGTCGCAATATCTAAGGTATTCATGAATATATAGATTGGGATTGGAACTATCGATAGTCATCGGTCACTCGTGATGGAGTATATTTCATTCTTGACGCTAGCCGCGACTGTGCCGCTCAAGAACATTCCGTAATCGTTAGTCCACGAACGCGAGTGCTTGCGAGATTGCCTCTCGTTTTTCTTCAGTTTGTGTTTGAAAATTTTTCATTTCTCTACCGAAAGGATCTCCCGTTGAATCCGTCCACATTACATACACAATTATATTTAAATAACTTATTGTTAGTAATTCTTATAATTCTTAAATGATTTTATTTTTTACTTTCTCAAGCAGCCTCTTTCTTTATTAAATGAAATCTACAGTCTATATTTTGTAATCTCTCCAAATAAATTTACTTTACCATTGCTAAATTCTGTTTTGTTGTACTAATCATAATCGATGTGATATTTCAGCAATCAACAGAACGGAGCTGCCATCACAACGATTACTTCACATGTGGACATCGCCGTCGCAACTCAGGATCGGCCGGGCACCTAGGAAAAAGATATAGCCTTCAGCTGTACCATCACCGCGCCTAGTGAAAAATGGAGAACACCGATGGATTCAGAAGAAAGCTTTCTTTTCTTAGTTTTGGTAAACGAATATCGGTGAGTAATTGACGAACAATTAATATATAATATAGCATAAACGTGAAAAACACCCTGGAAATAAATCGAAGGAAAACCATCTAGATTTGTATAGGTATGTCTCAGTGTATCTATAACAACGTATCGAATGATTTAATAGCGATACGTCGATAAACAATATTCTATATCGGAATTGATATACTCCGATTATTGCGATGAATACATCACTTACAAGGGAAGTTATCCAGATATCCAATTAGTTTTGAAAAAGTAACAGTTAGAAGTTATAGTATCTTATCTCTTACTAAAAACTCATAAAGTAAAAGAAGGTTACGAAAAAAATATTCTTTAAACCCATTTTTGGAGCCGCTTATAGCGGACTTTGTACGCATTTTTCTAACGAATATTAAATTTTCCGAACAAATGGCACATTTTAATTAATAGGAAGTAGGATACTATAACTTTTAATTGTTTACTTTTTCAAAATTAATTGGACATCTGGATAACTTGCCTTAGGGTCTGATCGAAATTTTGGTTTCGATTTCGATCAGTTTCGGTTAAAAATCAGAATTTCGATTTAGTCGAAATTAAGAGAAAATTTCGGTAAGTAAACTGAAAGTGTATAAATTGTAACGCGCCGACAAGCATTCGGAAAACTATGTTATCATCGATACCGATGATTGCTGCAAACGGCAGCCTTATATTCTTCCTTCTTTATCCTTTTTTACTCGCCAAATTGCTACATATCTAGTATCTGAATTTCCTGATAATTTATAGGAAATTCTTTATAATTTAAGGAATAATAAGATAGTAATAAAATCTTATTTTTAAAAGAGTACATAAATTACATATTTTGATATTTCGAACGATTTTCTGAAAATCATCGTGTTTATAAGATTTATCAAAAAATTTTGGTTTTGATTTCGGTCGAAATTGAATTTGCGGATTCATGGAATCTGATTTAAGTTGACCTCTTCATATAAAAAACGAATATTTAATACATAAATTCAAAAAACGAGTACATCAGAATTAGGTGCTCCAATAAACTGCAAAGGTACACTTAAATATATAATATTACAGTATTTATAAAATATTGTATTATTAAATTATTAAAATCAACCATCTGTCCCAATTTGATTTATAAGAGATAACTTAGATTAAAATATTAAATTCCGTCTTGTCTTCAGTGACAAAATATTCCTCTGTTAATGTATCTAATATTAAAATATTAAATCGCCGAATTAGGTATTCATTCGATTTAGCAGAAATTCAAATAAAAACATCGACAGCGCGATCAGTATAGAAGAGTAAAGTCGTATTAAAAAATTAAGACTTGAAATACCATATTTTTAATATACTCTATTAAGATCAAATCGCAAAATTAGTTCGTTCGCAGGAACTAAAAAGTCACCGCGCGACTATAGCTTATAAGAATAAAATATATAAATAAAAAATTATATGCATCTATTTGTTTAGTCTTGAAATATTCTGTTTTTAATATACTATTATGATTTTAACGCATCGAATTAATTGCTCGGTTTAACAGGAACTTAAACTGGAAGGTTGACGTTCAAGATCAAGTACTTGAAGTTGTTGCTAAATCGAACGAGCACCTAATTTTGCGATTTAGTATAATATACTATATTTCTTAATATAATATAATATAATATATATAGTATATTAAAAATAGAATATTTTGAGTCTAAAAACGTAAATGCACTTAATTTTTTAACGCAACTTTACTCTTGTTAGCTAATCGCGCTATAGATATTTTCGTTCAAATTTTTACTAAACCGTATGAATATTTAATTCGGTGATTTAATATTTTAATATTACATTAACAGAGGAGTATTTCACTAAAAATAAGGCGGAGTCTAATATTTTAATATAAGTTATCTTTTACAGATCAGACTAGGGGAGATAATTGATTTTCATAATTTAATAATATTTGATAAATATTATATATTTTGGTGTTTCTTTGTAGTTTTCTAGAGCACCTAATTTTGAAAGATGTTGGAATTTATTTAGCTCTGGAAGAGATTAATTTAATAGGGATCATCGGCATTTTGAAGTGATGTATTCACTTCTCATACAGCACACTTTATTCGATGGATGTCTTGAGAATGTTTCTCTAGATATGTAAATACATCTTCTGGACGTCTTTAGAATGTCCATGTCATGTGACTTATTGCACATAATGGCGGAGTTCCCGTCTCGTCATCTGAAATCTCGATCAATCAGAAATTGAGCTCATTTGTAGTGTGAACAAGATATGTGAATTTCTGCAAATGAGCTTAAAACTTTGCTTGACGGATTTCCTTACTACTTTTAACTTATTATGTATCCGTCGATATGAATCACTTGTCTATTCTATCACGGAAGTCTGTGCTTTGTATGAGTTTTATCATATTCTAACATAAAACGTATAATAGTGAGACAAGATTAACTAAACAAATTTAATTGCGTTTTCTATACGTGTTATTATTCAAATCGGATGTAAGCAAATATAATTTTCGAATAAGTTACAATGATCCATATTGCACTTGCATGCGAAATGTTGTACATTGTATATACAAAGGAACAGAGAGATCCGCTCTGCAAAATAGTGTGCGAATTATTGCACATTATTTCATCGCAGTTATCTTCCGACTCCGACATAGTTTCATAAAGGCGAGATAAAAATGACCTCGAACAGGACTGATTGGCCTGATTGTTGACGGTCACGGGTCAATAACCATTTGACACCGTGTGTGGCGCACGCGGATCGCACGACACAAATTGGAAACGCGAAACGGCGCCGCGGCACGTGACTTCGATCGGAACATCAGAAAGAAAGTTGCTGGGACTTCCACGTTGCCACACGCTAAATATATATAGAGGATATCTCATAATTATTCTGACGAATTTCGTGGACATGTAGACCGGACTAAACTGAGATGGAAAATCCTCTACCATTTTGCAATTTTTACAATGGTTAACAAGATATTAATTGCTAAAAATTCGAAAATTTGATCTTCAATAATTTTTTACTCAAATACTATCAACTTTATAGAAAAACTGCAAGAGACAAAAATTGTTTATTTTTTTTCATAGAGCTTTAAGAATTTTTTTAAAATTTTTCCAAAATTTTTTAATACCGTATTTTCTCGTGTTGATAAAAATGAGAAAATGCAGTACTAAAAAGTTGATAAAAAATTCTGAAAAAATTCGTAGAGTTCTATGAGAAAAAAATAGTTTTCATCTCTTGCAGTTTTTCTGTAAAGTTGATAATATTTGAGTAAAAAATTATTGAAGACCAATTTTCGGCAATTTTTAGCAAATAACGTTTTGTTAACCATTGCGAAAATTGCAAAATAGTAGAGGACTTTCCGTCTCAGTTTAGTTCGCTCCACGAACTCCGTCAGAACAATTATCAGACACTCTGTATATATATATATATATATATATGTACACTTGATTACTGTTCTTTATAATGCTGCAGAGCTGTAAATTCCGTATTTCGTGCGACCAAGACCGATTGGATGTCGTCATGACGCGCGACCACCATAACCGCGATGTATACGGTTGCGTAAGCTCGAACTGATTCCAGATGTATTTCCTTCGAATGCAATCATCATTAATAATCGTATATCAGGATCTAATTAGTCGCGAATTCTTGATCTTTATCTAGAGTTGGTAAATTTATTTTATAAGTTATAAGTTATAAAAATAACTTATTATCATTACTGATTTAAAAAGTAACTTATTGTTACCATTATTTAAAAAGTAAAGAGTTGTTACAATTTCCGTTATTTTTTCAGTGAATTTTGATAGCTCCTTTTTTATAGAATGGCATTCTATTATTCTAGACATTAATTCAACACGAGATCTATAGTGATTACAATGGTTGTCGCAACATAGTCAAACATAACATTTTCTTCTTTCAAAATTCACTTATGTATAAATAAGGAAATGTAATGTCGTTTCCAATTTGTTAGTGAAAAAAATAATTGTAACGCTAATGAAAACGTTATATTCCTTATTTGTAATGCTAATGATGACACAGTTACTTTTTTGGAGTAACAGTAACGAAAATAATCATTTCTTTTATCGTTACTTTGTACAATATATGTGCATAGAAAACGCGCGTATAAGAGTGAATTTTAAAAGAAGAAAATGTTATGTTTAACTATGTTGCGATTAACCATAATCATCATAACCATTATAAATTTCGTGTTGAATTGGTCAAGTGATCAGAATAATTAAATGCCATTCTTGTAACGCATTGCTTCCCAATATTATACTTTATCAATCGCAGATGTATGGTCCCTTTTTTGTAAAACTTTTATCAAAATTTATCTCTAATGACATCTCGGCAAGTTCTTGAACGATACTGCTTTTTCGATTCGTGAAAGGCCGCGATTAGTTTCGTCCCACTGACCTGGATTGAGCGATCGAACAGCAAAGTGTCGCCTCCTTTTTGCTCCTACGGAGCAGGAAGTCACCTAATAGAAACGCAAATTGGACGATACGCTGAAATTTGATTAGATGTGTACTCTGTACTCTATCTTTTCTTTTTTTAGATATTAACTGCTATTTAAAAATGGGTTAACGGAAGAACTCCAAAAATTTGCATCACTTGATATTTCTTGCACAGTAATAATCTCTTAACTCATGTTACACATATAGATGATTAAAACATTAACATTTGCCGACGTGCCATTCAAGCGCTTACGCAAGGTCGGAAGCCGCAAATTCGATTATCAAGAGCGGTGTCAATCGTATCCTCGCAATCATATAGCTCGATCGTTGCTAGCATTGTCAGTGTACAAATAGCCCGTTTACGTTGGAGCGCGTAAAATATCTGTAAAAGAAATTCCTCTCATGTTTGCAACAAATTCGAAGGTAGGGACTATGACTTTCCGTAATAATATATGGTAACCATAAGATGCAATCCCATCTTATTTCTTTTCGACCGGTACGGCAAATCATTCGGTTGATTACGCAACAATTATCTCATTTATAAATTTCTTTTATAAACA